GGCGGACTCGCTGCTACCGGCTAGACTGGGGCGGCCGTGCGCACGAACTCAAGCCCAAGCTGAAGTTCTGAGCGAGACCCCTCCCTTTATAAAAGCTTTAATTTGGTGAATGTTTTGGTTATGTTGTGTACTGCCAGCATGCCCGTCACAAGGATGATATTCCTCGCTGCCGTATATGAATGAGTGTTTATAATGTTAGCATAAGGTTTTATTTTAACTGCTATTTATAATTTATAATACAACGGTGGATACTTGTTATTCTTGTTTTAGAGAGTTTTGTATGTTTATAGATTTAATGACAGGCTATTGTATCCATAGCTGTGGTAATTGTTTAATTTTACCATTTGTGATCTGCCATAATAATATTGTTTCCACATTGTCCACTGTTTGAGACATAACAGTCTCAGCGTTGACAATGCTATTAAAAAGAGTGAATTATTCATACTATTCATGATATAAATAACATCATTCAAAGTATCAAATTAGTCATTTCCATTGAAAAACATGAATAACCTTTTTATTTTTTTAGTTAATATTTTTTTTCTTATCTGAAAAATAAAACAATATTTCGACATTGAATTTCTTCTAGTCTTATTTAAGATCAAACAAAAACATTCATATTCTCAAGCAAATCCTGCTGTGTAATGCATGTACTTATTTTGTAATAAACAAGTTATCACTTAAATGGGCTGGAACCAAGTCTTACATATTGTGTTAAACATATTATGTTAAATCTAGTTTACATTCTACTTCAAACAACAAGTTAGGATCAGTTATAACTACAATAAATGAAATAATTACCAATTGTAAATATTTCATATATTTAATTTTTTTTTATTATCATGCTACAATTTTTGCTTCATACAATATTAAATTGAGCAAAAAATTCATATGAGTACAATTTTTGTAATACAGGGTGTTATTTTCTATAATATCAATAATTAAAACTAATTTTCCTTTAGAATCTGAATTTGTGTCTGGTTTGTATTTTTTTCCTATATATCGGTTGTGAACATAATAATTTACTAATCCATACACATGTACCTTTGGACTAAAGAAGTTTAAAGAAAATTAAAAACGGCCTGAGTTGGGACCAAAAATGATGTTTGTTTCATTTTGTAAAGATTTAAAACTAAAAGACATAGCGTAATAAAAAAAAACTTTTTTTACTTTAGATTTTTACCAAAGAGTGTTGAGAGACAAGACTGGCAGTTATGTCCAAAGGTACTGAAACACCCTGCTAACAATTTTTATGCACCCATCCATTCAATGTAAAGAGTTTGATATTGAGACCCCACAAGTCTACTTAATTTAACTAAAATTGAGCTAACAGTTTATGCAAGATCAGTGAATCTGCTTTCAGTTCAGGTCAATTTGTACCTACATTGAGTTAGTTTCGATCTGCATTGAAATTCCCAGGCATATGTGTAAAGCATGCAGGCTTAATGAGCTGCGAGTCGTGAATGAATGATTGATAGCTCTGTAACTTGACTCTCAGACATTAAGCCAAGCCAGTTGTGCCACAGCTCAATGCTTTGATCTGAACTTTTGAGCGGATTCATTGCTGACCCATAATAGATGTCACTCTTTACATTGAACTGGTTATATTCTTTATAATTTTTATGTAATGGTAACAGGACCATAAAATACTCAATACTGTTGTGTTTAGTTAAGTCTGCTTAAATATATAAGTTACTTTATTTGTAACAATACACACCGAGTAACAGACCAATTATTTAATGTCTTTTGTGTCTATTGTTTCTATGTACTGTTATATACTTCACTTATTTATGTACCTACTATTGGTATACATTGGCCCTGATTTTGATAATGATGTCTAATTAAATTTATTATTTTTAAAATAGTTTAATGGCAAAAAAAAGGTTTAATTTGCTGATAATTTAAATTTACCTCATCTGATTGGCATGTTTTCTACAGATGGAAGGAATAGGAGTAAATGATTATTTAATTGCTTGTAGAAATTTTATTTCAAATTCACATCAAGTTGGTTAAAACTTTGTCTGTTACTTAATTCTACCGACAAGGTTATTTATCATTAAAGTATATTTGTTATGTATTTACTTAAATTATCGCAATTGTATTTTACACTGTATTTATATCTTTATAACTTTATTGTTTTAAAGGTGTATTATCTACTATCAGTATTTGTAAATATGTAAACAGTATTAAATGTTTTACAATGCGTTGCCACTGACGAAACATTGTACAAAAAGTGTTATCTCTGTATGGTTCAACATCTATACATCATACATCCATATACATATGTATATTGGGTATATTTAAAAATTTCTCTTACCAGTACATCCATTATTTTTACCGTAATCATGATTTAATAGATTAATGTGGAAAAAAAAATATTCCTGTTCCCAAAAGCGACATCCGTAAAAACAAATTAAAAAGACAAATGAAACCCCGAAAGGCGGTGCAAATGTTACTCCCTACTAAGTCGTCTTTGTTCGCGGTATTCCAGTTACAAAAATGCCTAGCATGTTTAGAAAAATAAATTATTAGTATGCTTTGATCAAACAATAATTCATTTAAGATTTTTTTACCTAGTAACATCAGTATAGATTACATATTACAGATTAATTACTACATTTGACCCAAGAAACCGGCAGGTTAAAAAACCGTTATTTGCAAGTGAAACGTTATCTTTTTAAAGGTGAAATACAAAACAAATAACGTTTTTGTTGACTAATTTCCTCATTCCGTATCGAACTGGCTCTACTTGTAAAATGAGATGACGAACCGATCCGGTTTTGCAAACTTGTTGGCGGAAAAACCATTGTACACATCGGTACTCGGTATGCCCTCGATGTTTCAATTGCAAGCTTTCTTTGAACCAAAAAATATTGATCTATGAAACTAACGTAATGTCAATCTAGTAGTTACTATTTACCGCTGAGCAGGGTCAAGGTTATATTGGTAGGTTCGGTATTGTTTCTGGAAGTGGAACGTTTGGTTTTTTCATTTCGTTCTGTATTAATGTTTCAAATGTACATTCGACTCGGCTATTTGTTCAATGTTAACCGTTCTGCAGTCTTGAATTCGATCCCCAATTAATATAAATTAATTTGTTTTCAAAAAAATAATAAATAATGTATATTTTGACTGATGACATAATAATCACATTTATGTTTAATTAAAAAGTTCTAGTAATTGTCTATGGTACCAAAAAATCGGGATTCTAACCTGCGTAGTCTTATTCATCTCATTTTTTATTTTCATAGGGACGTTACGTTACAAATAGCTTGATCTAATTCCTGACATAATTTTTCTATGACTGACTCGTTGGCACATATCTGCATACTTGATTCATTAACCAATATTACCTTTGATACTGTAAGACTCAAGAAATATCTAGACAAGAACGTTAGTTATGAGTGTGGACGGGCGTTCTGGTAAGAGATCCATCTAGGATTGCGTGAAAGGTAACATGATCGAGAAGGGAGTGAAGACTGCGATGACGGATGATAGAGTTAATTGGACGAAAACTCTACGGTAGTATAAGGTTCAGACATTTGAAAAGTAACGCATAAAAGAAATTTAAACATTACCAAAATCATTAGTTCTATCTATAAACTAATTAACGAATTTTTATACGGTCTTCATCAAAAGACATCAAAACCTGAAGAAAAGTAATATAGTAATATAATATACATGCAAACTAACATAAATTTTCATGAAACATGTTCTGTCTGTCGGGAAATTAGTTAAATGTATCTATAAAGAAAGCCAAAAGGGCGTTTGATAAAAAAGGACGGGGCGTTCCTTTACTTAATATGTTGTTATAATTACTTTAATTGATTCAATTAGTGCAGACGTTAAAAAGTTCACGGTAATGGAAATGTATTAAAGTTTACATTATGAACTATTGATTTTTTTTGCTGGTAACTGAAAGTGTTACAAGGTTTTTTAAACATGACAACGGTAGGGAATCCAAATAGTTTGCCTAAAACTAAAAAAAATTAAGACCATGTAAAATTAGTTTCTACTTAACGTTTATAAAATGTCTGAATTTCTTTATTTATTTGAGTTATTAAATATTTAAAATTTAATTAGTAATACCTCAAGTTCTATTCAACATTCTCTCGCTTGACCCATATTATTTAAAACGGGCCAAGCACCAAATGTGAAGTGTGATAGTCTATTTGCTCCAATTAATGCGCTCGCCAATATTTAAGCCGGCGCCATTTGCAAAAAACATGTCGATAGACACATTCCCAAATGTAACAATTAATTGCACGTTTATTTAATACTAAAATATTTCTCTTACTACAAAAACACGAAATAATTTTAAAAAGTTGAAAAGGCTACTATTTTTGGACTTATAAAACGGTGAATCAATCCTTCTTTTTTCAATTAAAAAAAACAACCACTTGCTCTCGACTTATCACCACACAAAATATTCATCCAAAAAT